CCTGAAAACCATACATTTTACACCTGAACCTCAACTCTCGCAGCCCGGTACAAAACGACTCACGGACCGGTCCGAGGCCCGGGGGTTGGGGGCCGCTGTCTTAAGCGGTTAATCTGTTCAGTTTTTCAAGACAAAAAAAATGCAAACTGCAAATGTTTAGGGATAAAAGTACGAAACTGTTCCCTGCTACCTTCTCACTTATGTTCTTTAAATAAATAAAACATATTTTTTCTTTAAAAAAAAAAAAATCTCATAATCCACACTTGCATAAAGACAAACATCGACATTTGACAACCATTAAAAAGTCAAAAAAAATATCCCAGAATGATCTCACAGCAACTTCACCAGACGCGTTTCCGTCTGCAAAATTAATGGCCGATTTAGGGGCCGACAACCTGTACGTGTTTCAGCTTAGCCTGTAAAAATGTGTTTATTTGATCCCATTAACTGTTGGTTGTATTTGATTGAAAACTGAACAACAGTATGATTTTATTTCTCTTTTACTTAACAAAAAAAAAAGAAGAAGATTTTTGCACAAACACCGTCAGAAACAAGTTTACCATATTTGGAGGGAGCTGAATTTGTTACATACGCAGAAGTGGCTGAACAAATGCAGAAGCTGCTACTGGCCATATAGACCAGCATCCACACCCCTTGCCACAAGCAACAAACTCAGCAGGGTCAGTTTCTCTTCTCACAGGAACTAAAATGTGGTAAATACGTCTGCTGCCTACACTGAGCGGAATAAGGCCAAATGTCAGAAAACCTCAGTGTTCTCTAACTTTCGGTAAACAGGATAGTGTAGTTAAAAAAATGCTGTTTAATTGAACAGCAGTGTTGAATCTAGTCAACCACATAATGAAAACACATCATGTTCGTCCTGATTAACTTTACACCTCCGTTCAGCTGGTCGTACCCTAAAACTGTTCATTTTTCTCGGAAACTGAAACCAAGCGCGAGATCTCTGGACATTAAATCTGGCGATATAAAACAAGCGTTCCAGTATTTGTGTCAACTCACCGGCTCTCCCAAAACACATCCACAGAGGAATGGCCACCAGCATTTGGTTCCTGCACCACCCAGCCATGATAACACAGGCTCGACACGGATAATCAGCTCCTTGAACAGCGAGCAAACACGACTGCTTGGTGCGTTTTTTTTTTTCCGCTAAAGACTTCGACTACTGCATACCCAGCTTTACAGCTCAGAGGGGAAGTTGTGGTCTGAGCTCTAAGTCCATTTGTCTCAGATCTCATCAGACCACTCCCCCTGTTAACACCAACCAAGAGGAAAGACTTCACTCAGGCGTCTGTGTCTGCTGTCATCTTTAATACTTTATTTGTTTTCAGGCGGCACAAGAGCGTGGAAAGAAAAAAAAACAGGGTGTTTTAGACTTTACGAAGCTTTAAGATGTCAACTTATCACAGTGGGACAAAGAAAACAGATGCGTTTACTGTTCAGACATAAAATATTTATTAGGTTGATTTGGGCATTGTACATGAATGGCGATAAACGAAGCCGCCTGTCAAAAAGCTCACTACAGTGAAAAGAGAACAGGAAGAGAGCCCGTCTGACAAGATAGTCGTGTGACAGACAGAGAGAGTCCTTGCTGGGGGAGCGACACATTAAGAGTATCGCTTTAACGGTCCACCTCTCCAAACACTATGTCCTGCGTACCTGCAAGAAGATAACACTCGATGTGAAGCAGCTCCGTTTGCACGCTCGCTTCTGCATGTCTGCAAGTATTTAAGTTATTGTGACATTCTCACCAATGATGGCCACCACATCTGCCAACATGTGTCCTTTGGCCATTTTATCCAGACCGGCCTAGAAAGAAGCAAACATGAAGTAACATTACAGCAAGTGAAGCTTCCAGTATGCACGAGAGCACAAAAGTTGCCTTAATTCATGAGATTATAGCCTCGAGTTATCACAGTAACAACTCAATTAGTTTGTTTATGCAACTTTAAACACATTTTTAGCCTTGTAAACCCAAATTCTAATGACGACGTTCAACTGCATTAGCTCGTTTACCCATGAGCTAAGACGAACAGGAAGGAAGCTGAGGAGAGCTTTGGACAAAAAAAAACAAAAAAAACAACAACTGCTCCATAACGCTTAATAAAATATAGTTAATGAACTCAAAGTAGCCTAGAGGACAAGCCGTTAAATGAGCTGAATAATTGATGGTGGGAGTATTTAATATTTCACAGTGTCGTGTGAGATTTTTAAGTACGCACCAAGTGAGCGAATCCAGGGGCTTTGATCTTGCAGCGATAGGGTCTGCTGGAGCCGTCTGAAACCATATATACACCAAACTCTCCCTGCAAGCCACACACACGCACACACACACACTCCAATAAGCATATTACACCACAACAAAGTCCCATCTAATTAAGACTCAAAAAGCCTTAGTCGTACACTTTGATGACTGCACAATTTGTCCTTATACTCTACACTACACTGAGTGCTCTCACCTTAGGTGCCTCTACAGCTGTGTATGTGGCCCCTGGGGGGACCTGGTAGCCCTCTGTGTACAGTTTAAAGTGGTGAATCAGAGACTCCATGGACATCTAGCAAAATAACACAAAGTTTGTGGGGAAAAAAAGCATAAAAAGAAAAGAGCATCAGTGTATATTGAGGGAATGTTAACATTACAACAGTGAGGGGAAGTACAGGTGGTTTCCAGCCTTAAGTGCAGCCAAATTTAATTGAGTTTTACAATAAAACTGTCCTAACTCTGAAAAAGGACGAGTAAACACAAATTAACAAGAAATTGAAATAACACACGAGTGATGAAATATAGAGAAGAACGTAAATAGCCTGCAGGCTGCACAGTGAATGCAAAAGAGGAAAGCTCTCTACTCAACACACCTTCATCTCAGACCTCTTAGGCGGAGCCACTTTGGCATCATCCACCTTTATCTCGCCCTCTGGCATCTTGTTCATCGCCTGGTGCATGATCCTCAGGGACTGCCTCATCTCCTCCACTCTGCACAGATACCTGCGCCGCACACATACACACACAAGTAGCAGTAAACCACAGGACTGATGTTGCTCTTGCTCTGCGCCACTACACGATATACACCTCAAACACTCTGCAGAGAAGGTGGAGGGCAGACGTTAGCAACTCAGTCTGGCGTCATCATGCTCAGAGTGCATTACACAACTACAGTACTACAGTATAGTATAGTACAGGAAATCGACCTGAAGGAGGAAAAAATAGTTCCCAGGGCCATTTTGACTGATTAAAACAGAAGTGGATGTGTTCCACTCATGCCAGTGAGACTGGTGAACCACAATGTGCTTTGTACGCAGCCACATGTTTAGTCACTCCAAGAGGGTGATCAGAAAATAGGTCAAACTCTGTGGACAAACGAGGTCGCCAACTTCTGCCGTCTGTGAGTGACGGCTCATTCTGATTATTTATGCTGCATTCATGAAAACCAGGAGCATCAAGCTCTCACCGTGTAGGCACGTAAACCAGGATTCCTTTTAAACACAGT